GGCAACCCTAATATACAAGTATGATTTTTTTGTCAACTCAGTGTCCTCCTCGCACATTTTCAAATTCTGGTCACCTTACTTTTCTCTCATACTGCTCTATTCCTATGGATAAATATATAAATACTTTGTTTTGAAGAAGCTGTTCAATATCACTGCACTTAACCTACTTTACACAGCTCTTAAGGGAAGTCTATAGCAGAGCCGTGAATCCATCTTCTTTTTCTTCTAGTGTTGTTGATCAGGAAGTTAGTTATAAGTCCCTTGCTAAGAGAGATCCATTTTAATAGTCAGGATTTTACTCTGAGAAAAATATAGGCACTAGACCTGTCACTTTAAAAGGGATGATCAGGGAAAGACTGAGTGAAGAGTCAAAGATCCAGTGAACCCAGTAACCATGACAGCCTCTCTCCCATGAGATCCATAAGTGACAACTTTATAATATGGAGAAAAATTAAAAAATGAACCAAAAATTTCTCCTGACCATTAGGTCATCCTCTCTAGTTTCTATTGTATGTCCCTCTTCTTTGTTTCTTTCTCTTAGACCCTAATCCTGTAATCAGCTCCATGCAGGATTGGGGTCTTTGACTATAATCCCTTCAGTGACAAGAACTGTATGTTTCTTTTTGGTCCTGACACTTACTATATTATTATTATTAATAATACTAAAGAATGAACATAAAAATGACAAGGAAAAAAACCCATAAGAGCTAACTGCTACGGGCCGGTCAAGAGAGGATTCTCATTCTCTGCCCCCCCGTCCCTCCAATCCATTTAGTGTCCCTCTCATTGACTTTTGAATCAGGTCTTTTCTGCACTGCACATAGAAACACTTAGATAGTTTCAATTGCATAGAATTGTGGTTTAAAGAAGGTTTTGTGCTCCTTTTCCTTCCCAGACCAGTTCATCCTTCACTCCTCCTATCCCCCTTCTTGCAGTATTGGTGTGGAGGGTATGGATGATACAGGGCAGGAGTGCAAAGAGGCTGGATGCTGAGCATGTTTAAACTGATTACTAATCTGTCATCCTTCTCATTGCCCATCTGAGCACCATTAATCACTGATAGTGGGAAAGCTTAGAAACCAACAGAGCTTTAAGAAAGGGAAGTTTGGAGTGGTTTTATGAAATATTTGATTTTAGTTTTCTCTAAATACATTTTTACCTGAGCAAATTGATTCGGAATTCAGCATACACATATACACTCTTCACTGACTAGAACAACATTTTACATTTATTGGCAAGAGACTCAGAGATCACCGGGCAATACTTTTTGCCCTCGGTTTTCTCTCTCCAGCACACTATTTGGTCCACTAGTGGTGATGGGCCAAGCTCAGAACATTCAGCGGTTTGGTTCAAGTAAGGTCTCAGAACTCTAGCTGCTTATTAGACTACCATCCCAGAGAAATCCAAAAAAATCACGAGTGGTTTACAGAATCATGAGATTTCAAAAATAAAACATTTTGAATCTTCATTGGTCTTCTGGATTTCACACCTTAAAGGATCATGTTTTCTAGCTTTTCTTGGCAATCTTGAGGACTAAAAACTTATTTTATTTAATGAAAGCTGAGAACCTGCTGAATTCACATGATACTATGGATTAAATAAACCACAACCCACTACTGATCATGAGACTTTCAATAAAATCATGAGAATTGGCAGCACTGTTAATATGTCAGTCAACATTAGTTTAACAGAACTGCGTGTTTCTCTCACTATTAACCCAGAGTGTTTAAGCAGAAGTGCACACGAGCATTTGCAATCAATTCTATAACTCTTTGCATGCATTGTTGCCCAAATTGTCAAACCGTTGGGGAAGATGCAGGAATTCCCATGGTGAAATTAAGGTCACAGTAAAGCAGGATGTTAGAGGAGATTAATGTCTCCTTCTAGCCTTAAAGTCTATTAAACTAGTTCAGTCTGCACTTATTCTTCAAAGTAAATTTCAATAGGCAGTTTTCACAGATGATTGAAATATTTCCTGTATTAAAGAAGAACAAGGTTCATCTTGAAGCAGAATTAAGTTCTTCCATGATTAAGCACAAGACACATACCTTTATTTCTCCAACTTTCTTTCTAGGATATAGAACTAGGTAGAGAAAGCATCATAGACATCTAACACTCCTGTCATCTGAAGAAGTGGGCTGTGCCCATGAAAGCTCATGATACCATTTACGTGTGTCTTTAAGATGCTACTAGTCTATTATTGAAATTATAGTTACACAGCTGTCAATCTGTACTGCTGCTAACAAAGTCAACTTTCCACAAACCAGATCAACTGTACCTAAACATTTTTTTTTGCTTTCTCCTGTGCACCCTGTATGCCTGGGAGAATAGACTTGTAAAAAATCTTCAAAATTACTACATTATCCTCCTTAAAATGCACTTCCGTCATGAAACTTACACAACACTTGACAATGCCTATAAAAATGGTAGCTTCACAGATATCTTGTTCTTCCACAACTGTTTGTTTTTCTTCATATGTTGTCTCTTATCATACAATTAGGCTAGGGCTGCCTTCTTTATATTGTGTGTGTGTATAGGGCCTAGCAAAATGTGTCTCCTACCTGTGGATGAAGTTTCTAGGATCTATCACAATACAAATAATAATTAATAATGATTGTTTCCTTCAGCGAGTCAAATCTTCTACTGAAATGCCAGTGAGTTCAACAAAATTATATCAAGAATGAATTTGGCCCAATTCTATTATGTAAACACTGACAACATCACATACACTATTTTAAAGGATAAATTAAAAGGGCGTGCACCAGTGCAAAAAGTATTTACTATAAATTATTAAATACAACAAAGTGGCAAATTAATTTCTGAACAGATGAACCACTAAAATATCATAATTAGCAAGACAATGAAAAAGACTAAATAGATCTTAAATGGATTTAATGTGTTGAATAAAATATGAACTCAGAGTATTTTGTAATCCTTCAGCTCAGAGAGAGAGAGATTGAGCTAGGGGATTGAATGGTTGAAGAGATTATTAACAGGATAAAGAACTTTTCGGTCACTACTCTGAAGGCAGCCCAGCATGACAGTCTCCCAAAGCAGTTTCCATGTCACAATTGTTTGGTAATTTGTGTTAGCATATGAGGAGCACAAGTGTTCACATGAAAACAATCATAGGTCAAGATTTCCAAAAATAGTTACCTAATGTTAGCCTCTGATATCCGGAGCTAGGTGCCTAGTTTTAGACAGTGCTGGGCAAACAACAGTTGCCACTGAAGTGTGTGCTTTGCACTTGTATAAGCTTACTTATTTAGCTGCCTAAAATGTTTTCAGGAGCTCAGACTTTGGTGTCTAATTTAAAAAACCTTTACACAATTGGCACAATAGACTGGCGCCAGGAACACCTGTGCATGGTTGCTCAGGCCCATCTAAGGTCTAATTTACACAGAACATGGTAGTTACAAAAGTCAGGACATTTGAAGTTAATTGCACATGAAAAAGTCTAACTATTTGAAAGTATGGAAACACAGAGTTAAGTCACTTAAGACAGTCTCAGCACCATTCCCATACATCTGCCAACCATTCACGCAAATTCATCAGAAAACGTACACCTATAAACCACATGCTACCACTACATTTTCCCACAACTGACACATACAACTATGCGTCCTAAACAACCACAGATTTATAAGATGTACCTCCCAATCAATGCGCGCTCACCCACATATACCCTTTCTCATGGAACCTCTCAGCATAGGCATTGAATAAAATGCACATGGTAATACTAAGCTTTTACTAAGTCATAGCAAGGTCTCACCCCAATTTCCTCCACAAGCTTCACCAGCTGCTTAGATTGAAGAAAATGGCCCTCCCCACTGAAGGACTTTGCATTGTGCACTGAAGGTAAAAAGGGTTCTAGCTGAATAAAATGAGAAGCATCGTCAACAGTCTCAACTTGCAGGATGGTGCATGGAAGAGACTCAAACCTCTTATAACTTTATAGATGAAAACGAATACACTGAATTGCAAATCAGAAGCTCGGGGAATTCATAAATAATAGTGGGGGTTATGCAAGCTTCATATGACTCATACAGCTAACCAACCAGCCAGTCTTGTTTTGTACTGGCTGATACTTGCAAGTGGTCTTCAAATTATGAATGAATGATTGCAATCCAATTGGAGGTAAAAAAAGGCATAAATGAACTCAGTGAGGTCCATGGCCAGGAAGAAACATCACCATCTCCTAGTTAAAGGAAGTAAAGGGATCTTCTGGTCAGTGCCATTACTTGACACTGAAAGAGCAGCTGGGTGTTCAAGATATGTAGGCTGTAAATATAAAAAAGCAGACATACCCCCCACTATTAACCAAGGTAGCACTTTCTGACTTCAGAAAATCGCCTGTGTCAACCAGCATTACTTGAGTCTTGTCTGGACTGAGCCTTGCTAGTCTGCTCCTAGCCCAACCAGACTACAGGAAGGAAAGAAGACAATTGTACCATCTAGATCTGCTGAGAGAGGCAGGGGGGAGAGAAGTAGAACTGAGCATGGTCATCATATTGATGTACTCAGTACTTCCTCTTGCAACTTCACCAGGAATAACGGTAGTTCAAATTAGGAGCTTTAATTCGAACTACCTAGTCCGTGCCGCATGTAGCCGCGGGCAGATAGTTCGAACTACGGGCATTTAAAAATGGCGCCCGCCCAGGAACATGCAAATGAAGCCTGGGATATTTAAATCCCGGGCTTCATTTGCAAGTTCGAATGCCTACATTAGCCACCCTAGTTCGAACTAGGGTGGCAGTGTAGACATACTCCAGGAGATCATCACTGACCATGAAATGAATGGTGCTAGTTTCTGTACCACACCCTGCCATCAAATCTGGGTGAAAGAAAGCAAAGACCAAAATTCTAAGTGGAAAACATTGTCTTACAACCTTCTGCAAAATGTATTTATCTGAAAAGGACATTGTGATGATTAATGTTAGCACAACACTCTGCTAACATAAAGCCTTATGTAAGAAATCAATTATGATAAAAGGACTCACAATATTTCTCATATGTTTCAACAATATTGTCAGATGGGTGTTCTCATAAGATATGACTAACTGCACTCCAGGTTTCTGGTCAGTAGATTTAGGACCTGAAATAAGCAAAAGAAATGAATTTTCAGTTAGTGAAAATATTAAGGAAAATGCATAGCTAAAGCATTGAAATACTATTTTAAATAGCATGTATAACAAAATATTTCCTGCTTAAAATAAGCCTGGAATTAGAAAACACAAGAGATTATAAAGATTAAAGTGGTGGCTTGAAATGTACCATTCATTCTTTCATTATGTATTTGAAACGTTTCTTCTTTAAGAGTGAAATTTTAAATTTTCCATTTGGCATCAGTCTGAATTTTAGCTTGCTTAAAAAAAACACACCCTCAACCACTATGTAAACTGCTCCAACTTTACTGAAACAAAGTAGGGTTTCATTTTATTGATAGAATGACTCAATTTGGATGATTATATCCATTTACTAGACTGACAAAAAGAGAGTTTGCTCCTGTTATCATATCTCTCTTTTATTGCAGCATCTATTAGCTCCACCGATGGACCAGGTGCTGTTCAAACACAGAAGAAAGAGACAGTCCCTGCCCTGAAACAGTTGCATTTTGTCACAGTGTAGGGTTGAATGGTCTGGAATTTGAATGGCATCTCCTGAAAGTATTAAATCACAGAAAAATAAACATCACTTGATATCAAAATTGTTTTGATGGAAATGTTTCCACAAAATAAATTTATTTTTGATATCTGTTCCCCTGCCATACTAAGCAGAATGCGGCCAATATTGAGTATATTTCAGAATGCATCCCGGTGGGAATGCTGCATCGGTATTCATGACACTGTAAATGTGGCACTGAGTTTTAATCTCTTCATTGCTAGGATCACAGCACAAATCTATCAGACATTTTCAATTTATTTTATTATTTCAGTGTAATCACCAGCAATCTGAGAACGAAAGTGATATCAGTGAAGGATGCGGTCACCAAAATTCAGAATCTGCTTGTTACTGGGTGTTTTTATTTTATATTCATTCTGACTAAGAGATAGGGCTGAAAGACAAATCACCAAGTTCTCACTCGGGCAAAACTCTTATTAAAGCCAAATGGAGTTTTGCCAGATGAGAGTCAGTAAAAGCAGAGCCCTGAGTCATCACTCTTCATACAAAAAAAGGATCAATTTTTTTTGTATGAAGAGTGAAGCAAAGTAGACAGAGCAGTTTTGCCTTCTTCTCTTTCATTACCAGCTCCTCTTCTCCACTGAGCAGCTAGCAAGGTGCTTCTCCACTGAGAACACCCTGATCTTTCATTTTTATCTGACATACCTGTAGATCCCACTCTTGCTGTCTCTAACATTTCTTGCCTTAACAACGACAAGTCCTGTGGCACCTTATAGACTCAGAGGGTGTGTCTAGACTGCAGGGTTTTGTCGACAAAAGTGGACTTTTGTCGACAAAACTATACCTGCGTCTACACTGCCACTGAGTTCTGTCGACATAACATCGACAGAATGCCTTTTGTCGACAGAGTTCTGTAGACAGAAGGTGTTATTGCATCTACATTGTCCTTTGCGTCTATACTGTCATGTCGACAAAGCAAGCCACTTTGCTGACAGACAGGGATGTAGTCTAGATGCTCTTTGTCGACAGAAGCTTTGTTGACAGTATCTGTCGACAAAACTTCTGTCGACAAAAGCCTGTAGTCTAGATGTACCCTAATAGATTTATTGGACCATAAGCTTTCGTGGGCAAAGACCCACTTCGTCAGATGCCAGATGCATCTGATGAAGTGGGTCTTTGCCCACGAAAGCTTATGGTCCAATAAATCCATTAGTCTATAAGGTGCCACAGGACTTCTCGTTGTTTTTGCAGATTCAGACCAACATGGCTATCCTTCTGATACATTTCTTGCTTTGCTTTCCTGGCTGTGTCCCCACATCCATGTGCTATTCCCGTGTATACATCCTTAGCGACACTGTCCTCTTTCCATTTCCTGTGTATATCCCATTTGGTTTTCAGATAGCTAAACATCTCGTGGGGCAGCCACACTGGTCTCCTGTGGCTCCTCTTACCTTCCCTGTTGCTTCATATACAGCAGTGGTCTCAAAGTCCCACCCTGAGGGCCATCCCTGGCCAGAGAGATTGCGCAATTCAGCTTGGGACTCCTGGCAGGCTGGGGCCCAGCCTGTCTCTTACCATCTCCCCCGGCCTGCCCCTTCCCACTATTGCCCTGCCCTCTGTCCCCATCTCCAAAGAATGCAGCTTTGGAATCACTTGGGGAGACCTGGTGCTGCTCAGTGGCAATGGTCATCCTCCCTTTCCTTCCCCCACAGCAGAGCCTCTAGTATTACATTTTCAAGGAATTGCCAGCTCCCTTCAGTTCCCATAGAGCTGAGGGGGGCTGACAGGGGCTCTGAGACACTCACACAACCTTTATGCTGCCCAAAGAAAGTTGAAGGAACAGTGCTTTGGAGGTGGGTACTTAAGGCCTTCTCTGTGTTCTGTGTTTCTGCTCCTGAGATACAAACAACAAATAATAATGTGCAGGTGGGGGGGAAATTCCCTTCTGTAGCCAAACAAAGGCCTCAGGATTTAGATATTAGAGCAAGCAGGAAGGGCTTTAACTACATCAATTTGAAAATGTATAGCATTGTCTGACCCTCAAATTCTTTAACCATGTTTTCTGGTTTTTAGGGTAATGAATATTCCTGTTAAAGACAGAAACTTGACTTGACATGCTTATGTTAAAGCATCATTTCCTAAACTCTTGAAAGTCAAGTTTCTCTACATGCAAATGGCTCCCTTCACCTTACTAAAGGCCTATGGATCTTAATTTGTATGTCTGCTTTAGTCCCCTGCCACTGGGGAGTGTTATGTGGCCCCCACATCAGCATCAAAAATGGAAGAAGTTGGCAAACAGGTTGCGATATAGATTTGATAGCTTGGTCACTCACTCAATACTCAGAAAATAAATGATGGTCTAATTCACAGAGTGGAAGGGTTTCTTCTACAACCCATGTACCATTGGGTACATAATGGTTATAGGGATGGTCAACTGGGAACTGGAAGAACTAGGTGTCATGCTTTTCCATGAACTCAGTGCCTCATCTGTAAAATGGAGGTAACAGTAGTTCCTTATCTCTCATGCAGAAGATAAATACTTTTAAGACTGCTAGGTATTCTGATATTACAGTGAAGAAAGCCATTGAGAGATCTAGAACATAGCCCATAAACCCAGGCTACAAGCTGCTTGAATTTTTGCAGCAAACCAATGCTCTTGTCCGTGCTTTGCAGCCTCCCAATCCTGGATCAGCTGGGTATCAAGCAAACCTTTGGTACAAGTTAGAGCAACCATTGCCAATTTCCAGTGGCCCTAAAGGAATTGATGTGGGGTTACATAGATGCCCTGGTAATTACTTTTGTGCTGCAGTGAGGGGGCAGGAAGAGACACTGCAGCAGCTGTACACTACCACAGGATTTTCCTACACAGAGGGAATTCTTCAGTGGCTAGTTAAGCACAAATTAGAGTTGCTTTGTTTCAATAGAGTGGCATAGCCAAAGACCAGAACCTCAGTCTGTGAAGAGGCGGAACAGTACATTGGACATGGAAGGCATGTGGCATTGCTAACAGCCACTCACTGTATGAAACGTGGCTAGCTAGACATCCAGGAGCTTGTTGGTCTCTTGGAACATACGGCAGACGACAGAACTGTTTTGGTGCACACAGAGTACATCTGTGGCCACCATAAGATTTTATTCCCTCTCTTCTCTAGTTAACTGCAGAAGAGCTAAAATGCAAGAGTCAGCATTAGGCAAGAACAAAATGAACATCATAGCTTGTGACTGGCATTTCAGGATGGAAGAGGAGGTGGTTAGGACATATTAGTGCTATTTCTATAAATAATAATGCATGCTTAGGCAAAATTAACCACATATTCTGTTAGTTACATATACCATGCCTTGTGAAACAAATACCCTTTTGACAGTTCATCGCTAGCAACATTATTCCCTCTCAGTTAACACGTGCATTATACTTTGCCATTCCTCAAATCCTCCTCCTTGAGATTGTTATACAAAGAGGAGTCCTAGAAAAGGCGTCTGGAATAGTTTATTTCAAGCATAAATATATATTTGTTTAATTATGATGTAATGATAGCTGGAAATAATGCAACTGGCAAGGGATGGGATACCAAAGCCAAATGGGGCTGCAGATTATATTCTAAAAATATTTATATGAACCTCTACAAGTTGGGAAATAATAAGTGAACCGAATTACTTATTGGCTAGGATATTCACATTTACAGACAAAACCCACTTTTACCACTGGGTTCAATTAAACCCACCTCTGCATTACAGCATTCAATGTTACCAAGACCAATTTCCTCTTAAAATGATAAAAATTAATAATTTACATGCCTAGGCTAACAAGCGTGGATTCTTCCGGCCAGTCAGTTTTGGAGCCACCGAGGAAAAAGCTAAGCATGTACTCATTCTGAAATCAAATAAAAAACATATAATTATTACATTCTGGGAAACTGGGTTGGGAATGACTTCCATTTTCCAACACTGGCCCCCAAGGGCAATGGGCTGGTTTGTCTCTTTGCACATGCACTAGAAGATGATGCAGGCAAGGGGAACTTCTTTTCTCCCATTGCAGAGGTGCATGGCAGGACAGAGCCCTAGTACTCCCTTGGATGTTCTTCCAAATACACATTTGCACCCCGGAGTGGGGGTTTAGTCACAGCCTCATCCATCTGTATAAAAATGGATTCTGACAGATGCCCTAGCAAGGGTGCATGCTGCCCCTTTTTGGGGCAGCAAGAAGGCAGCATACCTGAGGGACTTGCATCTTGACCCCATGAACCATCCTGCCCTGTACTGGCCCAATGGCTCAGGGTCTTTGCTCCTTCCTGTCAGCATGCCTCACACAACAAGGCCAAAACGTGGCCTTAGGTTAGTGTTTCTAGTTGGTGCAAATGTTGCAAAAAAGACCATCATTATCCCCTGTATAGCCCTCCTGAGGGAGAGGAAGTGCCGCAGAAGGTCTTGAATTAGTCTTCTACATGCAGGGTAAAATTCACCCCATGCACACGACTATTATATAGTCTGGAGCACTACATAAGGCTGGCTTGGATTTAAGTGGTGCAAGTGTCCTCTGTTGGCTGTCTTTACCCTCTCGTTGTAACAAGGCTAATAAACAGTTAACTTCCTGACAGAAGTCAGACATGCACGTGGGAAGAAGAGGATCATTTTTCACCACATTGTTTAAAGACCCCATGCCTCTTGTGCCAGATTACAGATTTTATTTGTGTTAACGGACCTGCAGTGCTCTAGTAAACAGATGTAAAAGGTAGCTGAATTCAGTTTTAGAGCACTAAAGGAATAAACCAAATCCCCTGCTCTCAAATATTGCACAAAGCAATAAAAATGTGAATTCCGAAATGAAGACTTATAAAGGTTCTGAATCAAATCTGGACAGTAATTGCATTTTATTAGCTTTTTCATAAAGCAGCATGTCAGATTGTCCATGCTTTAATGTGGTGAGACTACCCACATTTATATCAGTGTTCCTGGGATTGACACTATAACAAACTGGATACTGCACAAGAGCCTTTCTGGATTCCAAGATACAAATGTCATCAGCATTTTACAGGGCCAAGAAAAATAAGATGTCTCTTATCAACAGCATGTCCTGCTTCAGACTGATAAAATGCAGCAAGAAACAAAAACAGAAAAAGAAGAGTTTAGTGACAAATGTTGCTCCCACAGCAATTAACATCTGGGATTAGCAGACAGAAGAACCAGGAGCATATGCTCAGCAATCAGATATGATTTAACAATTTGGATTTATTTGACATTTGTGTTTGCGTTCTGCTTTTTATCTTTCTGTTTAGAGAAGAAAGCCTCCAACCTGGCCTTTGAAAATGTCACTTTTCCTTGATTCAAATAGGTGAGGAAATGATTAGCAAGAAGGTGCCAATACTCTAGATGAAGCCAAGTTTTGGCAAATACAAGGTGACTTTCATCTTGGGGATCTCTCACATATGGGCACACACACACTGCTTCAGTTAGTAGTGTAATAAAAGCTTAAAGTGACACAATAGGGTTATTGTTTGTGGGACTCTTCTTTGTTTTTTCAGCATGTCTTTTCAGCTACATGAAAGTGTACGGAGACTCAGTGTTCAAAAGAGTATCTTTTTGGCAGGTCAGCCATTATTGAACAGTAGCAAAAGAAAGCACAAAATGTAAGTAGCCATCCTAATTTTCGAAAACTCAAGAGGAAAGATATGGGGAGGCTGAAGGAAGAATATGCGAACACTTTGAAAGGGAAATAAAAATTCAATACTGAGCAGCCTGTCTTTCTACTTTCTCTTGCTTGCTCTCACAACACTAGGCAGGTTAGATTTCTATCGGTGATATAGGGAGAGTACTGAGTAGGAAGAGCAGAGGGTTATTTTAGGTTACCATAATTGCAAGTTCTCATTTTCAGCCGTACCTGCAGTGTCATTTAAGAGCACACGGATAAATGGTGCAAAATCCTATGACAGGCATGAACATAATGAGTACGTTTTTCTCTGGTGTCTCATTATTGATTTCAAGGCATGGATTTTACCGTTTGTGCACGAAAGAGAATACAATGATATACCCAGCATGGTAACAACACAAATAGGGAGAAAAGAAGATTAGTGTTGGTGAACGAAAAGGAAAAAAAGTGCCTCTGAGAGACCAGGACCAAAGTGCCGGTTGGCCAGCCAACATGGGGCATCTGAAAACACTGTAAAAGCCAAGGGAAAGATCTCCAAAGTATTAATTATAAAAAGCAGTCAGTGCATCACTACTTCAGAGAAAACAACAGCTTGGCAAAATGCGTAAAGGCTGAGGTCTTAATTATCATGAGTATGTCTGTATAGTACAGGACATGCTCATTTATCCTCCAGTTCACCAAAGAATTTAAACACATACCTAGGTTTGCACTATTCTGCAAGTCACATACTCTTGCTTAACTTTTGGCAAGTGCTTACATCCAATTAAAGTCAATGCCAATGGGACTTAAGCAAGTGATGTTGTATCAGAGCCTTCATACATATTAAATGAACACAAATAATGGCTATGTCTACACTACAAGGTTTTTGCACAAAAACCAGCATTGCTCTTATTTTCATATATCCAATGTAGCATGTATGATTATCCGCCCTATAGACATGTCGTGTATGTGTGCATTCGGTGTATACCTCATCCCAGGAGGCATACCTGGGTAGATTAGCTGTTTGTCGGCTCAGAGTGGCAGCCATGTAAATTTAAATGAAGCGGCGATTATTTAAATCGCCGCTTCATTTTCCTATGTCTGGTAGCCTAATCTACATGCCTCTGGTGACAGAGGCATGTAGTCTAGATGTACCCATAGATAGCTGAGTTTGTGATGACCGGGAGAACCGTATGGTGACTTGTCTGCCTGGTGCGAAGGTTGGGATCTCTCGAGACATCTAGGTAGACTTAAGTGTAGTGCTAGGGAGTAGCCAGTGGTCCTGGTACATGTAGGTACCAATGACGTAGGAGAGACATTGTGGGGGCCAAATTTAGGCTCCTAGGAAAGAGAGTGAAATCCAGATCCTCTATGGTAGCGTTCTCTGAAATGCTTCCAGTTTTACACACAGGACCAGGTAGGCAGGCAGAGCTTCGGAGTCTCAATGTGTGGATGAGACAATGGTGTAGAGAGGAAGGGGTTAGATTTATTAGGAACTGGGGAAACTTTGGGGTTAGGGAGAGCCTCTACAGGAATGATGGACTCTACCTAAAGCAAAATGGAATCGGACTACTTAACATTAAAAAAGTTGTAGAGAAGTTTTTAAACTAAGAGTTGGGTGAAAGCCCACGGATGCAGAGGAGCACATGGATCAGACAAAGACATCTCTTAGGGGAGGATCCATTAATAGATATGCTCTATGTTCTAGTCAGGAGGAGAGGATGGAAGTATGGGTCAGATCGGATGAGACACAATGAAATGAAAAAGTCTAACACATCAGGAAATGGCGGACAAATAAATAGTGGCAAATTGTTAAAGTGCTTGTACACAAATGCTAGAAGTCTAAATAATAAAATAGGTGAACTAGAGTGTCTGGTTTTAAAGGAGGATATTGATATAATAGGCATCATGGAAACCTGGAGGAATGAGGACAATCAATGGGACAGAGTCAGACCAGGGTACAAAATATATCAGAAGGACAGAACAGGTCATCCTGGTGGGTGAGTGGCATTATACGTGAAAGAAAATGTAGAATCAAATGAAGTAAAAATCGTAAATGAGCCAAAATGTTCCATAGAATCTCTATGGAAAGTAATTCCATGCTCCAATAATAAGAATATAGCAGTAGGGCTATATTATCGACCACTTGATCAGGACAGTGATAATGACTATGAAATATTAAGGGAGATTAGAAAGGCTATCAAAATAAATAACTCAATAATAGTGGTGGATTTCAACTATCCCTATATTGCACCTCAGGACGGGATGCAGAGATAAAATTTCTTGATACTTTAAATGACTGCTTCTTGGAGCAGCTGGTTCTGGAACTCACAAGGGAAGAGGCTATTTTGATTTAGTCCTAAGTGGAGAGCAGAATCTGGTTAGAGGTAAATATAACTTGGAAATAGTGACCATAATATAATAAAATTTAACATCCCTGTGATGGGAAAAAGCACCTCAGCAGCCCAACACTGTAGCATTTAATTTCAGAAAGGGAAACTACACAAAAATGAGGAAGATAGATAGACAGAAATTAAAAGGTACAGTGACAAAAGTAAAATCTTTGCAAACTTCATGGAAACTTTTCAGACACACCATAATAGAAGCCCAACTTAAATTTATAGCCCAAATTAAAAAACACAGGAAGAGAACCAAAAAAGTGCCACCGTGGCTTAACAACCAAGTAAAAGAAGCAGTGAGAAATAAAAAGACATCTTTAAAAAAGTGGAAGTCAAATCTTAGTGAGGAAATTAGAAAGGAGAATAAACTGTCAAATGAAGCAGGAAGTCAGCTAAACAACCAGCGGGGCCCTTGGACAATTGAGATACTAAAGGATCATTCCAAGATGCTAAAGTCATTGTGGAAAAGCTAAATGAATTCTTTGCATCAGTCTTCATGGCTGAGGATATTGGTGAGATTCTCAAACCTGAGCCACTCTTTTTAGGTGTCAAATCTGAGGAATTGTCCTAGATTGAGGTGTCAGTCAACTTCAGAGGAAGTTTTAGAACAAATTGATAAACTTGACAGTAACAAGTCACTGGGACCAGATGGAATTCACACAAGGGTTCTGAAAGAAGTGAAATGTGAAATTGTGGAACTATTAACTGTGGTTTATAACCTATCCTTTAAATCATCTTACGTACCTAATGACTGGAAGATAGCTAATGTGATGCCAATGTTTAAAAAGGGCTCTAGAGGTGATCTTGGCAATTACAGACCAGTAAGTCTAACGTCAATACCGGGCAAAT